CGCGTAAGCACTTTGTATAGGAAGTTTCAGTGTGTGGTGAATTGTTGAGTACTGCTGCTGGAGAGAGTACTGGCGGGAGTAGCACTCCGGTCTCATCACGACTATCACGTCTTAATGAGTTTGGTTCTATTATCTATTAATGTTTTGAGCTATATTCCGGAATATTGCACATTGTGGGAACCGACCTGTGAGATTTATATTTATTTAATTTATATGAATTTATATTTACGTTAATTTATATACTTCGATAGCAATTTGTATAATGTTAAGTGGACTGTATTTCTGCAATAATCTCATAATCTCACAAATCGATCCTCTACACATTAGGGGGGGTTTATATTACACATATGCAGCCAATCAAATTACAGTAATAGCTACATACATTGATGAGGTTCCTTCTCTTATAGTACAGCAGGTTAGTCCACCAGGTATAACTAGAGTGTAGACACCAAATTATCCTCTTTGAGGTAGCTTCTATCACCCAGTAACTGGTGCACATAATCTTGCATCCTCGTCTTGACCTGTCAAAAGTGCGCTAGCTGTGAAGCCAGAATCCTATATATGACAAGCTATATCAGAGAAAACACTATACAGTACATGGAACATTAAAGACCTGGCTTAATTACCTTTAGTATGAGGCGATTTCGCGTTCTAACCGGCTAACCCTATATCCTGACATTAATGGCCATAAATGAATGATAAACGGGTTTCGGATAGACACTTAACTTGTATTTGTAGACAGCGTGTTGACAATGGTACACCTTTGGGTTCCATAACACTACGTCCAAGTAAATTTAACAGGAGCCGAATTTGCTCCCGTGTGAGCCTCTGGTCTCATATAACAACAATGGCTGCCCTCCTTCCTCCACTCTGATGCCTGGCTTACATTGTCCAGATTTCAGAACGTGATAGAAGGGTCACATTTACTCTACTTTAATATTGATAATTAAGTTAATTTATATAAGATGTTTTTATGATGGTAAAGTCCAAAGACTAATGTATTTAAGAATAATTCCCAGCAGAATAGCTGGTGAATTATAATAGTATGTGGTGATGATATCCCGTTTTCTTTAGATGGTAATTCCACTACAAGTTACGTTTTCTATGGGTAACTTGTTGGTAATACAGCTATTATCTGTATGATATTAAATGGTGTCGGATTTTCCGACATAATTCCCCAGGGGGCTGCTCACGGGTCGAAGTCCTGATTAGAACAGACGAACACCGATACTCCTCCTTCGAATTATTAGATTAATTTGATGTTAGTAGTTAGTAAGCACACATTTGTGCGTCTGTTCGTACAGGACGGATGTCCCGTACTAGAGTTGCAAGGGTTAGAAGTCTAATGCGATTTCATTTCCCTGTCAACTCTTGAAAGGCTAATATTCAAGCCTTATTACATATTATTTAACCCAGAAGACTGGATGTGATCAAGTACTACAGTCAAGTATGATTCAGGGACTGCAGTGAGATCAGTGACATTAGATATAACTTGAAGTTTGTTCAGGTAACTGGTCACTGATATATAAACACTGAGGCCCATGGAATACATCTTGATTAAATAATAAATGTATCAAATCAGTCATCAGATTTATTGGGGTTTAATTTAATTAATTGATTCAGAGGATTGAATAGCTCATCATTAAAGTAAAGTATGGTTCTGAGACTGCAGTGGGTTCAGTGACATTGGTCGCAGTGACTTGTAGCTGTTTTAGGCTACTGTTCACTGATTTGCCACTGAGGCCTCATGAACTCATCTTCAGCTTCAAATGATGATACTAACATCAACTTCTGTTGGTATAGTCAGCTGTAATCTCCTTAGTATAATGCTACTGGAGAAATATAATCAGCTGACAAATTTAGATCTCTACTGGTATTGCTTATCTGCAGGCATAGGTCTCCTCAGGCTTGATACTGGGCCTGAGAGTAATTTACCTCCTGCAGAGTTTAACATGGTTATGCCCTGATATTTAGTAGGGCTACCAATGAATTGATGGTAGTAGTCTGTCCCCACAAGGACAGCCATTTGGCATTTGATTTGCTCAAATTTACCTGCAGCTGCTTGATAATAGCTTTCCAGGTCAGCATAATCAACTTGAGATTGTTGTGACAAATCTTCACATTTCTTGATCTGTCTTGTTAAGTGGCCTTTAAGACCTGCAAGGGTTCTTTTCATTCTCCCTGCATTATCCATACTGGCTAGTTGGTGAAGCCTTGTGGGGCTTGTACTTGGGCTGCTCATAATACTGAACAAGCTCTAATGGTAGCCTAGGGTAAATTCTGAACTCACTAGGCAATAATCCTACCTCTACTAGAGGTTAGCACTTAAAATTAATACACATTATATATATACAATCATCCACACTAATGCTTTGAGTGATAAACCAGTGTCATGGAAGTACCTATAGGTTAGCTCTTCTATATCACCCTAGGATGGTAGAGACACTAATTAATCACTCAAAGGTGTAATGATCATAAGTAAATTATTATATATACAACTCAACTCGAGTTGATAAAAATTACACCCAAAATAGGGTCTGGACCATTCATTAATGGTGTTAGGTTGTTCAATATAGTACAACTGACTATTGTAATAATGGGACTAGGATGAACAATAATAGTTCAACTAGTCATATCCTACCCTGTTGTGGGTTGGCAATTAGTAAATATTATACTGTGATCACTAGTGCAATATATATTAAATAATTCTCTATTTTGGAGAAATAATATACACAATTATTGATAATAGCCTCTTAATTGCCTCTATGAAACTTCTAATATTATCTAGAAGTATTAAATATTATTAGTGACCTCGCGAAATAAAGTCCACAAAATTCGTAGATAATCTCTCGCGAAATGTAACACCACGAAATCCGTGAACAATCTCGCGAAGACACAGTCACTAATTTGGCTGGATTCTATATTAGCGCTGTCATTTCACGAAATAACACGCCACCAAATTTCTGTGGGTGTGCATGAAACCGCTGACTAAGGCTGAACTGGGCTGAGGGAGGCTCCTGAGCTCCCACGAGGCTTCGCCGCTGTCTTTGACTGGCTGGCCTTGTTTAAATAACACTGCACTAGTATATTTAATGAATCCACTGGATAACTGGTTCATCCGGTACTAAGATGACCAAATGTGGGTTCAAAGGACCGAATATTCCGGTTCCGAAGGTCCAAATAATGTGGGAACCGACCTGTGAGATTTATATTTATTTAATTTATATGAATTTATATTTACGTTAATTTATATACTTCGATAGCAATTTGTATAATGTTAAGTGGACTGTATTTCTGCAATAATCTCATAATCTCACAAATCGATCCTCTACACATTAGGGGGGGTTTATATTACACATATGCAGCCAATCAAATTACAGTAATAGCTACATACATTGATGAGGTTCCTTCTCTTATAGTACAGCAGGTTAGTCCACCAGGTATAACTAGAGTGTAGACACCAAATTATCCTCTTTGAGGTAGCTTCTATCACCCAGTAACTGGTGCACATAATCTTGCATCCTCGTCTTGACCTGTCAAAAGTGCGCTAGCTGTGAAGCCAGAATCCTATATATGACAAGCTATATCAGAGAAAACACTATACAGTACATGGAACATTAAAGACCTGGCTTAATTACCTTTAGTATGAGGCGATTTCGCGTTCTAACCGGCTAACCCTATATCCTGACATTAATGGCCATAAATGAATGATAAACGGGTTTCGGATAGACACTTAACTTGTATTTGTAGACAGCGTGTTGACAATGGTACACCTTTGGGTTCCATAACACTACGTCCAAGTAAATTTAACAGGAGCCGAATTTGCTCCCGTGTGAGCCTCTGGTCTCATATAACAACAATGGCTGCCCTCCTTCCTCCACTCTGACGCCTGGCTTACATTGTCCAGATTTCAGAACGTGATAGAAGGGTCACATTTACTCTACTTTAATATTGATAATTAAGTTAATTTATATAAGATGTTTTTATGATGGTAAAGTCCAAAGACTAATGTATTTAAGAATAATTCCCAGCAGAATAGCTGGTGAATTATAATAGTATGTGGTGATGATATCCCGTTTTCTTTAGATGGTAATTCCACTACAAGTTACGTTTTCTATGGGTAACTTGTTGGTAATACAGCTATTATCTGTATGATATTAAATGGTGTCGGATTTTCCGACACACATCCCAAATATTCTCAACTTGACTGTGTACTGAATTTGTGGGTGGAAGGTCTCTGATACATTACATATTAACGTTAAAATATAAGTTTAGTTGATAGTCCAGATTTCTGCCATACTGTTACTTTAAAGTGTGGTGATTGGTGACGCTTCTGCCGGAGGTGACCCCCATACAAGTCTCAGGTCCTGTGACAACCCTCCATTGTCAGGTCAGGCTCAAAATGTTGGAAATAATTCAGTTCTATAAATACTTCAACTATTAATAGAACTTAAATTGTTTAATATAAACACAGAACAGTACTAAATAGACAATGTAACACACTGAGATCCGAGCCTACGTGCCCAAATCAACTCCTTCAGACTGTAAAAAGATTTTATTTACTAAATCTTGAATTTCTAGCTTGATCTAAATTATATAAATAAAATATTCCAGATAGGAGAATTGTAAAGCTTTTGGATTCAACGTGAACTAAAGCAGCAATTGGGTAAAACAAACAAATAAAGCTGTTTAGCATTTTCAAACCCTTTACAAATTTCTGAACTAAATTTCAAAATATATAAAACAAACTAGAAGTGTCTACCAATAAAACACGTTCGCACTCAGGGTATAAATCCCCCCTAAAGCAGCCTAACAGGACACTGACAATGTGACACCTCACTACTGGTACTTGTGCGCGCGAGACCGGAGCAGCCGCGCCCCTCACTCTAGTGTACTTCAAGATCTGCTAAACTCTTCCTATACTTACGGGCCCACAATAGCCGTCCTGCGTGGAAGTTTTGTTCCGAGAAGCTGAATCTAAAAACAACAACAACTTGTCCTATTGAGCCACATACGGTTATTTATCAACGAGACTAAACACCATAAAGTCCTTCGTCGCTTAAATTAAACGAATTTTTATCTTTGATAAAACGATAATTGTCAGACAAGTTTCCAACTGGGAAAGGGCTTGTAATTATTTGTTGGAAAAATTTTAAGCTGAGAAAATGTTTCGAGGGGAAAATGATATACTATACTGTATTACACGGTACACGGACAATTGGATTGGACAAAATTCACACCCAGCCACATGTACACCGTCCTACGAGTTGACCGGATTATACAAGTGTTATAGTTACACACTGGAGCCTACTGTGGTCGCAGGTCCATCTTGTACTGTATCATGCCTTCCTGGTTACTGTGTCACAGATGGTACTGTGCTCACCCACTACCACCACAACGGTACCTCTTCACCTCCTGCCCAAGTGCTGCCCAACCACTTGGGCTGCACGGAAGAGCGACGGTCTCACTTTCTGTAGGTCGGCGTTCAATCCCCGACCGTCCAAGTGGTTAGGCACCATTCCTCCCCCCGTCCCATCCCAAGCCCTTAGCCTGACTCCTTCCCAGTGCCATATAGTCGTAATGGCTTGGCGCTTTCCCCTGATAATTCCATTCCCTCATAATAATGAGTCCAAGCTACATTTGTTTACGCCAAACAATTAAAAGTTTAATACTGCATTACTGTCATGATTCTCCTCCTCAAAGTAACTTGCATAATGCCACTACTGTTGAGTATTATAGGCTTAGATGGTAGACTTCACCCGTACAAGAGATTTGTAAATGCCAATATATATACTTGTCCGGACTCCTGTGGACAGTTGTTGGGTGAGGTGAGTGTGTGCGTGTGTGTGTGTGTGTGTGTGTGTGTGTGTGTACTCACCTATTTGTGCTTGCGGGGGTTGAGCTTTGGCGCTTTGGTCCCGCACCGATGACAACTGTGAGTGTGTGTGTGTGTCAGGATGATAACTGAGGGGCGGTTATAGACGACACGTCCCAAAATATTATGTGTTACCACTTGTATGGTTGTAGCCTCAGCCTGGGCATCTTGTAGCCTCAGCCTGGGCATCTTGTAGCCTCAGCCTGGGCATCTTGTAGCCTCAGCCTGGGCATCTTGTAGCCTCAGCCTGGGCATCTTGTAGCCTCAGCCTGGGCATCTTGTAGCCTCAGCCTGGGCATCTTGTAGCCTCAGCCTGGGCATCTTGTAGCCTCAGCTTGGGCATCTTGTAGCCTGGGCATCTTGTAGCCTCAGCCTGGGCATCTTGTAGCCTCAGCCTGGGCATCTTGTAGCCTCAGCCTGGGCATCTTGTAGCCTCAGCCTGGGCATCTTGTAGCCTCAGCCTGGGCATCTTGTAGCCTCAGCCTGGGCATCTTGTAGCCTCAGCCTGGGCATCTTGTAGCCTCAGCCTGGGCATCTTGTAGCCTCAGCTTGGGCATCTTGTAGCCTGGGCATCTTGTAGCCTCAGCCTGGGCATCTTGTAGCCTCCGCCTGGGCATCTTGTAGCCTGGGCATCTTGTAGCCTCAGCCTGGGCATCTTGTAGCCTCCGCCTGGGCATCTTGTAGCCTGGGCATCTTGTAGCCTCAGCCTGGGCATCTTGTAGCCTCCGCCTGGGCATCTTGTAGCCTGGGCATCTTGTAGCCTCAGCCTGGGCATCTTGTAGCCTCCGCCTGGGCATCTTCTATACATGTCGCCCCAGACAGTGATTGTATCAAAAGATATCAATGACAAGTCTTAACAACAACAGAGGTAATAGTAAATAATTAATAATTTGACAGCTGGCACTAGTATGAAGCCTGGCATTGCTTGGACGACAGATAGTTCCATGTTTTATACTAACCTTATTGAAACTGGCGTGGCTGAAACTTACAGAAAACATTACTTGGCCAACATGGGAGATCATGTCCAACTACAGCTGCCTGTCTAACTTGATGCTGGAGTGTTGTGTCTGTTGGTACTGGTGGCCCAGGTGAGCCCTGCTGGTCCTGGTGGCCCAGGTGAGCCCCGCTGGTCCTGGTGGCCCAGGTGAGCCCCGCTGGTCCTGGTGGCCGAGGTGAGCCCTGCTGGTCGTGGTGGCCCAGGTGAGCCCTGCTGGTCCTGGTGGCCCAGGTGAGCCCTGCTGGTCCTGGTGGCCCAGGTGAGCCCCGCTGGTCCTGGTGGCCCAGGTGAGCCCTGCTGGTCCTGGTGGCCCAGGTGAGCCCTGCTGGTCCTGGTGGCCCAGGTGAGCCCTGCTGGTCCTGGTGGCCCAGGTGAGCCCTGCTGGTCCTGGTGGCCCAGGTGAGCCCTGCTGGTCCTGGTGGCCCAGGTGAGCCCTGCTGGTCCTGGTGGCCCAGGTGAGCCCCGCTGGTCCTGGTGGCCCAGGTGAGCCCTGCCTGCCACATTACTACACAAACCTCGGAGACCTGTTTGGGGAAGGTTTCCTCGGGTGCTGGTGCGGAGTGTCTGAGGAAGGGCTGTGGGAGGGTGAGCGAGCGGGTGCTGGGAGTCGCGCCTCGGGCTGCAGGCGCCTCACAGGTGCCGTCTCAGGCTCACTTTCCCTTAGAGTATATATTGGTGACTCCCTTCCGCCAGGTGGTGGTGGCTCGTCGGTGCTCTGTGGGTGCTCTGGTAACGAGACAGTTACTGTCGCCTCTGGTGCTATGTTAGCTGCTGATGGCGCTGCTGTTGATGCTAGACCTCTGCTTGTGCCCCCGCCGACTGCTGCCGCTGCTGCTGCTGCTGCCACAGCAGCAGCAGGCACTTGTATCCTGACGCGGTTCTCATCGAAGGATGACCTGGGAGCAACAACTGTAGTAATGGTCCGTTTGGTGTCGTAGTGAGCGATAGTAGACCTAGTGAGTAGTAGCGAGGGGCCCAGGGTGACCAGACCGCCGTGCTCAGTGCTCAGGTAAGGTGAGACGTAGCCAGACTCCCCGCCACTGCTGCCGCCACAACCTGTGCACACAGGAGCCACATTAGTCAACTTACACTACGCTCTCAACCTTAAGTGGCTTCATGGGGCCACTTGAAGTGTAAAGTTGTGAACTGGGTCTGAGGAAATATGAAGGTTAGACTGTGAAGCTGAGGCTTGCTAGTAACCTCATTATATGTATGGGAAGAGGCAGCACTCCGTCAACATGAGGTGTGGCGGCACGCAAGGTAAGGTCAAGCTAAGGTCAGGCTAATGTCAGGCTAAGGTCAGGCTAAGGTCAAGCTAAGGTCCGGCTAAGGTCATGCTAAGGTCAGGCTAAGGTTAAGCTAAGGACAGACTAAGGTCAGGCTAATGTCAGGATAAGGTCAAGCTAATGTCAGGCTAAGGTCAAACTAAGGTCATGCTAAGGTCAAGCTAAGGTCAGGCTAAGGTCATGCTAAGGTCAGACTAAGGTCATGCTAAGGTCATGCTAAGGTCAGACTAAGGTCAGACTAAGGTCAGGCTAAGGTCAGGCTAAGGTCAGACTAAGGTCATGCTAAGGTCAGACTAAGGTCATGCTAAGGTCAGACTAAGGTCATGCTAAGGTCAGACTAAGGTCAGGCTAAGGTCAGACTAAGGTCAGGCTAAGGTCATGCTAAGGTCAGACTAAGGTCATGCTAAGGTCAGACTAAGGTCAGGCTAAGGTCATGCTAAGGTCAGGCTAAGGTCAGGCTAGGGACAAGGACACAATGCAGACATTGTTCAGTGTCTCCCAGCACTATCTCTCTCAAAATTCTTTCCTCTTGATTGATTAGACTGGATATTGTGAGTCTCTGCTTGGGTTCATTAGCATGTATTGTGTATATCAGATTAAGATATAATTTACATTATATATTTGTATTTTTGGTTCAAAATTTGAGGTTGAAGTGGTATTTAATATGCACTTACAAAGAGAATTTATATGATTATTATCAGAACAAAAAGAAATTTGTACTGGTATTTTGAAGTGAGAATTTAACATATTAAATTGTAAATATCAGCTTGGGAATGTGCCAGGTGTCACTAGACTGTGTCGGCTACACGTGACACACAACGTCAAGCGTCACCAGTGTGTGTCGGCTACACGTGACACACAACGACAAGCGTCACCAGTGTGTGTCGGCTACACTTGACACACAACGTCAAGCGTCACCAGTGTGTGTCGGCTACACTTGACACACAACGTCAAGCGTCACCAGTGTGTGTCGGCTACACGTGACACACAACGACAAGCGTCACCAGTGTGTGTCGGCTACACTTGACACACAACGTCAAGCGTCACCAGTGTGTGTCGGCTACACGTGACACACAACGACAAGCGTCACCAGTGTGTGTCGGCTACACTTGACACACAACGACAAGCGTCACCAGTGTGTGTCGGCTACACTTGACACACAACGTCAAGCGTCACCAGTGTGTGTCGGCTACACGTGACACACAACGACAAGCGTCACCAGTGTGTGTCGGCTACACTTGACACACAACGTCAAGCGTCACCAGTATGTTGGCTACACTTGACTTTCTAAGTAACTGATATCTTCTCTTGAAGAACTTGACAAATAAAAGTTATATGGAATCAAGGAAGATATGTTAAGTTATATGGAATTATATAAAAGTTATATAGAATCCTAGGAAGCTACTGCGGGATGTTTGGCCTCGATATATCTGACCTACTACAGCGCAACAAGCTAAACAAAGTCCCACACCTATGTAAGATAAAGTCCCACATATATGTAAGACAAAGTCCCACATATATGTAAGACAAAGTCCCACATATATGTAAGACAAAGTCCCACATATATGTAAGACAAAGTCCCCACATATATGTAAGACAAAGTCCCACATATATGTAAGACAAAGTCCCACATATATGTAAGACAAAGTCCCACATATATGTAAGACAAAGTCCCCCACAAAGTCCCCCTATGTAAGACAAAGTCCCACATATATGTAAGACAAAGTCCCACATATATGTAAGACAAAGTCCCCACATATATGTAAGACAAAGTCCCACATATATGTAAGACAAAGTCCCCACATATATGTAAGACAAAGTCCCCACATATATGTAAGACAAAGTCCCACACATATGTTAGACAAAGTCCCACATATATGTAAGACAAAGTCCCCACATATATGTAAGACAAAGTCACACATATATGTAAGACAAAGTCCCACATATATGTAAGACAAAGTCCCCACATATATGTAAGACAAAGTCCCACATATATGTAAGACAAAGTCCCACATATATGTAAGACAAAGTCCCACATATATGTAAGACAAAGTCCCACATATATGTAAGACAAAGTCCCACATATATGTAAGACAAAGTGCTCGAAGCAAACCCAGGCTCCGAAGGAGCCAGTGTTGAGGAGAGCGGGGCTGTGGGACGTATAGTCGCCGACCTGCTTGCTGCAGCAGCGACCAGTTCCTCAGTCGATACATGTGCCGATCCAACCATGGCCTCGGCCATGCAGTGGAGGGTCATATATGTCAAGACAAAGTCCCACATATATGTAAGACAAAGTCCCACATATATGTAAGACAAAGTCCCACTATATGTGAGCCGACATGCTTACGGTCCCACATATATGTAACACGTAAGTAAGATCCCACATATATGTAAGACAAAGTCCCACATATATGTAAGACAAAGTCCCACATATATGTAAGACAAAGTCCCCACATATATGTAAGACAAAGTCCCACATATATGTAAGACAGTGACTTAGCACATGTGTTGTACTGTGCTGTTGTACATTTAAGCAAGTCAAACCTTGTGTATTGCGCACAAAAGGCTTGACTTGTAAATATTTAGTAATTCAACGAATAATGTTAAAATTCACATTTAAGATTATTAATTTGAGAATTAATGTATATTGATATATTATAATATTGCCAATGACACTTATGTATTGAATGTGTTACACAAAGTGTGGGAGGCCTGAGACACTGGTGGGGATGGCTGAGCAGTCAACAGCTGTGATGCTGTGTGCAACTGATCATAACGAACACAATGACCATGAGCAGCAGGTTTGGAGTGAGGCAACAGGTATAGGCAGACACACAACACAAAGCACCTTGTACAGGCATCTTCAAATGCATGGAGTGTGTATTACTGTGCATCTAATTGCATGCTGCTGCACATGTAAGTGTGGTGGAATCCGCGCTTGTGCGTAAAGGGGGAGGGGGGAAGGGGATGAATGCTTGAAGGTTTACCTCAGGTGTTCGAGAGTGTACATGCTGCAAGGTTCAACTCTAAATGCTGGCGATCACGTACTCTCAATAATAAAATGAATTCATAGTAGCATAGAATTCACACAACAGAATTCACATTCTCCTTTGAACTTAAACTCTTGGAATGTAATGAAAATGGCCAAAGTCAGACCCCTAGCATCATGAAGCAACAATTACTATGATCTAGACTCTACTTTAATATTTAAAATCAATTAATAAATCAAGTGAGATGTTCTTTATCAATATACTGTAACTTGATAACAATGTTCATGGTTAACACATTACAGCAAATCAAGAACCACTTTGAAAAATATTATTTCATTCATATATAGTAATAAATAATATATAAAAACCAAAATATCAGTGTTGTGGCGACTCCTGGGACACACAACTGAGTCAAAACAATGACAAAAACTCATTAAGAAAACTATTGTTATGTTAAAACCAAGTTCAGAAAACAAATTTGCAGTGAAAATATTAAATTTGCTCTCAAGCTGTGAAAATGACATTCCAGCAACACTAAGGAACACAACAGTCAACAGTAACAATGCACAACAGAACAACAACAACAGTAACACTGCCCAACAGTACAACAGTAACACTGTACAACAGAACAACAGTAAGAGTGCTCAAGAGTACAACAGTCAGTAGTCCAAGTTACTACTGTGTTACTAAACTATACACCACACCAACGCTGCAACACAGCAGCCGCGGCACACTGCAACACACAATGTTGCACAACAATCATACATCAGCGGTGACACACGACTTGATTTTGAAACCTGCATTGTAATGTATTATTAGGCAATAAAGTCCTATTATACAACATGTCAAGGAGTAATATAATGACATACTCCAGAAACACCACAGCACGACACTGTTGACACAGTACACTGTATCCGCTGATTACAGTACACTGTACCAGCTGACACAGTACACTGTACCAGCTGACACAGTACACTGTACCCGCTGATTACAGTACACTGTACCAGCTGATTACAGTACACTGTACCAGCTGATTACAGTACACTGTACCAGCTGACACAGTACACTGTACCAGCTGACACAGTACACTGTACCAGCTGATTACAGTACACTGTACCAGCTGATTACAGTACACTGTACCAGCTGACACAGTACACTGTACCAGCTGACATTCTACTAAACAAAACTAAGAGAAGTAAGCATTTGTAGTACCCGTCTAACACCATACTGTACCCGTCTAACATCATGCTGTACCCGTCTAACACCATACTGTACCCGTCTAACATCATGCTGTACCCGTCTAACACCATACTGTACCCGTCTAACATCATGCTGTACCCGTCTAACACCATACTGTACCCGTCTAACATCATGCTGTACCCGTCTAACACCATACTGTACCCGTCTAACTCGATGTTGTACCCCGTCTAACATTATGCTGTACCAGTCTAACACCGTCTAACTATACCTGTCTAACTCAATGTTGTACCCGTCTAACATTATGCTGTACCCGCCTAACACCATGCCGTACCCGCCTAACACCATACTGTACCCGCCTAACACTATCAAACACATTACTGACACAACCATCAACTACACAAAGCCCTCAGGTCGCAACACACATAACTATTACATATTGCCATATGTGGTCGACAATGACTTAATCTGACACATGGAAGCTGTTGCAACTTACTGTCAATATGTAACCTGGACAATTTCCAAATTCCCGAAACAATATTCCTAAACTACACTTTGGTAACATATGAAGACGAGTACACAT